GAGTAGCTGGGATTACAGGCACGCGCCGCCATGCCCAGCTAATGTTTTTTGTATTTTTAGTAGAGACGAGGTTTCACCTTGTTGACCAGGATGGTCTCGATCTCTTGACCTCGTGATCCACCCGCCTCGGCCTCCCAAAGTGCTGGGATTACAGGCTTGAGCCACCTCACCGGGCCTTCCCTTGTATATTCTTAATTTCAATTCTCATGAACGTTGATGTGTCTTGTTGTAAAGTATGGTAATCTTGGATGGGATTCCATGCCTTGGAAACATGCTTTGTTTTCTTCCAAATGATACCTATTGGCCAGACCTCCTTCTTTGTTTTTTTCTTACAATGCATGGAAAGGTAGTTCAGCCAGGCACGGTGGCCTACACCTGTAATCCCAGCACTTTGAGAGGTCGAGGTGGGCAGATCACCTGAGGTTGGGAGTTTGAGACCAGACTGACCAGCATGGAGAAACCCTGTCTCTACTAAAAAAAATTACAAGGGCCGGGCGCGGTGGCTCACGCCTGTAATCCCAACACTTTGGGAGGTCGAGGCGGGTGGATCACAAGGTCAAGAGCTCAAGATCAGCCTGGCCAAGATGGTGAAACCGCAACTCTACTAAAAATGCAAAAATTAGCCAGGCATGGTGGCAGGTGCCTGTAATCCCAGCTACTCAGGAAGCTGAGGTAGAGAATTGCTTCAACCTGGGAGGCGGAGGTTTCGGTGAGCCGAGATCATGCCACTGCACTTCAGCCTGGGTGACAGAGGGAGACTTCCTCTCAAAAAAAAAGAAAGAAAAAGCTTTGCAGCTGGGCGTGGTGGCTTACGCCTGTAATCTCAGTACTTTGGGAGGGTGAGGTGGGTGGATCACCTGAGGTCAGGAGTTTGAGACTAGGCTGGCCAACATGATGAAACACCATCTCTACTAAAAAGACAAAATTTAGGCCAAGGCTCGGTGGCTCAAGCCTGTAATCCCAACACTTTGGGAAGCTGAGGCATGTAGATCACGAGGTCAAGAGATGGAGACCGTCCTGGCTAACACGGTGAAAGACCATCTCTACTAAAAATACAAAAAATTGGGCCGGGCGCGGTGGCTCAAGCCTGTAATCCCAGCACTTTGGGAGGCCGAGGCGGGTGGATCACGAGGTCAAGAGATCGAGACCATCCTGGTCAACATGGTGAAACCCCGTCTCTACTAAAAATACAAAAAATTAGCTGGGCATGGTGGCGCGTGCCTGTAATCCCAGCTACTCAGGAGGCTGAGGCAGGAGAATTGCCTGAACCCAGGAGGCGGAGGTTGCGATGAGCCGAGATTGCGCCATTGCACTCCAGCAGAAAAAAAAAAAAAAAAACACCGTAAAAAAAAAAAAAAAAAAAAAAAAAATACAAAAAATTAGCCAGGTGTGGTGGCACACGCCTGTAGTCCCAGACTTGTGCTTTACTAGTAGTAAAGTAAAATGCTTTGCTTTACTAGTAGTCAACACAAGAAGGTAGATTAGAAGATTAGAATGATGAGTGGTTTTCTTTTTTTTGTGTGTGTTGGGAATCTCACTCTGTCGTCCAGGCTGGAGTGCAGTGCAGTGCAGTGGCACAATCTCGGCTCACTGCAAACTCCACCTCCTGGGTTCAAGCTATTCTCCTGCCTCAGCCTCCCTAGTAGCTGGGATTACAGGTGCCCACCACCACACCCTGATAATTTTTGTATTTTTAGTAGAGATGGGGTTTCACCATATTGGCCAGGCTGGTCTTGAACTCCCAACCTCATGATCCACCCACCTCGGCCTTCCAAAGTACTGGGATTACAGGCGTGAGCCACCATGCCTGACCCTGATGAGTGGTTTTCAACCATTAAACTGAGGTCTATCAAAGATAATGTTATCACTGGCTGGAGTAGACTCTGGACACCCCACTGTAAGGATCACAGTTCTCTGCTTGAAAGGGCTCCAGATTACCAAGTTGAGGCTTCCCACAGATGAAATAGAATGAGCACATAGTTAACTTCAGTATTGTTGAGTTTGGGACTAGGGCTCCTTACCATCCAGAGAAGATGTAACTGTAAGATTATTATTAAAGATTCAGTTAATTCAGCTCGATATAATTGGATAAAATACATCTCAACTACTGTCATAAGAATTAAAAATATGCCTCAGAAAAGTCACAAGAATGCCAAAGAATCTAAAAGGTTAGGGACGTACACTGTGCTTTTAAATTGACCCTTTTTTTTTTTGAGATGGAGTCTTGCTCAGTCGCCCAGGCTAAATTGCAATGGCACTGTCTTAGCCCACTGCAACCTGTGCCTCCAGGGTTCAAGTGATTCTCCTGCCTCAGCCTCTCGAGTAGCTGGCAAGTGCCTGCCACCACGCCTGGCTAATTTTTGTATTTTTAGTAGAGATGGGGTTTCACCACACTGGCCATGCTGTTGTTAAACTCCTGACCTTGTGATCCACCCACCTTGTCCTCCCAAAGTGCTGGGATTACAGGCATGAGCCACTGCACCTGGCCTTTTTTTGTTTGTCTTAGACAGAGTTTCACTCTGTCACCCAGGCTGGAGTGCAATGGCAGGATTTTGGCCCACTGCAATCTCCACCTCCCAGGTTCAAGCAGTTCTCCTGCCTCAGCCTCCCGAGTAGCTGAAATTACTAATTTTTTGTATTTTTAGTAGGGTTGGGGTTTCACCACGTTGGCCAGGCGGGTCTCAAACTCTTGACCTCAGGTGATCCACCTGCCTCAGCCTCCCAAAGTACTGAGATTACAGGCATGAGCCACCATGTCTGGTCTCTCTCTCTTTTTTTTTTTTTTCCCCCACTATGTCTTACGGTGCTGGAAAAATGACCTCGTAATGGCTGGGCATGGTAGCTCATACCTCTAATCCCAGCACTTTGGGAAGTCAAGACAGGAGGATTGCTTGAGCCCAGAAATTCAACACCAGCTTGGGCATCATGGCGAAAATCATCTCTGCAAAAAATAAAAATATTAGCTGGGCATAGTGGTGTGCACCTGTGGTCCCAACTACTAGGGAAACTGAGGTAGGAAGATCACTTATACAGTGAGCTGATTGTGTCACTGCACTCCAACCTACGTGACAGGAGCGAAACCCTGTCTCAAAAAAATAAAGATCTTTTGGTCAGTTCTAATATTCTATGCTTAACCAGTGGCCGAGTAGAAGCCAAATCCCTTGAAACCTAAATCCGTTTCAGGAAAGTATAAAATATCTGGCAGTTTGAATATTTGGACACTTCACTCTTTCACTTGAAAAGTGAAAAATATTGTGAAATCCTATTTACAGTTGGCTGTTGAACAATATGGATTTGATCTGCGGGGGTCCACTTATATACATGGCTTCTTTTTCAGCCAATCGTGGATTGAAAATACAATATTTGCAGGATGCAAATCCTGGGTCTATGAAGGATTGACTTTTCCTTTTTGACTTCAGGACTTCGGCATGTGCAGATTTCGTTAGATATGCAGGTGGTCCAGGAATCAATCCCCCATGTATACTGAGGGACAACTGTGCTTGCTTTTTATTTGGCCAAAACTCCTTTACTTGATTATCTTTTACTTGATTATTGATATCCTCCAGTGTGTAGAGTTCATAGTTATCTGTATTGCTGTTTGGATCAATTTAGTTTTTATTATCTATTCTCTTTGTTTAAAAGCTTTTTTTTTTTTTTGGACAAGGTCTCACTCTGTCACCCAGACTGGAGTACAGTGACACAATCACAGTTTACTGTAGCCTTAAGCCCCTGGGCTCAGGTGATCCTCCCACCTCAGCCTCCCGAGTAGCTGTAACTGTAGGTGTGCACCACCATACCCAGCCAATTTTTGTAGAAACTCGGTTTTGCTGTGTTGTCCAGGCTGGTCTCAAACTTCTGGGCTCAAGTGATCTGCCCACCTTAGCCTCCCAAAGTGCTAGGATTATAGGCATGAGCTACCGTGCCCAGTCAAAATCTTAATATACAAGTAATAGCAAAGGATATTTTTTTCCCCTCTGAATCTGCTGTACATGTAGTTGGGACTACAGGCACGCACTACCATGCCCAGCTAATTTTGTATTTTTAGTAGAGACAGGGTTTCACCTGTTTTGGCCAAGGTGGTCTCTATCTCTTGACCTCGTGATCCACCTGCCTGGGCCTCTCAAAGTACCAGGATTACAGGCATAAGCCACTGCGCCTGACCATGTATCTCTTTTTTTTGTTTGTTTTTGAGATGGAGTCTCGTTCTATCGTCCAGGCTAGAGTGCAGTGGTGAGATCTTGGCTCATTGCAACCTCCACCTCCTGGGTTCAGGTGATTCTTCTGCCTCAGCCTCCTGAATAGCTGGGACTACAGGTGTGTGCCACCACGCCCGGCTAATTTTTTTTTATTTTTAGTAGAGATGGGGGTTTCACCATGTTGGCCAGGCTGGTCTCGATCTCCTGACCTCGTGATCTGCCCCCCTCGGCCTCCCAAAGACCATGAATCTCTTATCTGATTTTTATAGTCTCTCTTTCTTTCACTTTCTTTGTATAGGCTAATAACTAAGTTAGATGCTTAGTCTCAAACTTGTTTGTAGTAGAGCTCTTGGCAAATTATTTTACCTTTCTCTTAAATTATTTCAAGCTTTTTTTACCCTTAGTAAGTCTGGGACAGGCAGCCTAGTAGTAATGCCTACCTTCAATCTCTTTCTTTTTTTTTTTTTTTTTTTTTTTTTTT